TTTGGAATAGCTATTATATGTATATGCTTTTGTATTAATAATGTATATGCTTTGAGCAATTAGGAAAATGAATCATGTACATTGCTGTGGTGACTTTAATTAGACGGTTCCATCATGGAAAGCTCAAACAAGAGGAAATTACTAAAAATTTGAGGGGAATATCCCCAATTATTTGTTGTATGAATAAGTAGTTTTACTCAATCTTTATACTGACACATCTTTGAATAAACATATTTTAGTGCACTGAAACTTTACTGCATCAAAACTTTCCCCTTGAAAACTCTAAACCCTGTACTTGTATGAATTCATGTTCTCAATCCACTTTAAAATTAATTCTGTGATGTCACCCATTAGATATTATCATACTCCAAAGATTGCCTATAGACAATAGTACTTGCAAACCAAAGAAATGCAACAGAGTGTGATCTCTTCTCAGGAGACACCAATGTTGAAAGGAAATCACCACATTACATCAAGAAGATAGAATCTATATTTGTGTGTGTGAGAGAAAGCCAGCATCTATCAAAGTGTGTCCCTAAACTCCAAGCATAGAGAGGGTCCTGTAACTTAACTTGTTGAATTAAAAAAATTCTACTGTAAATCAGTTGTGTAAAAGACAATGGTGCTTCCCCTTGGTAAAAATCACACCTGTAATAGTTAGGCTCTCAGAGCAGTCTCCAAGCCTTCTTGCCTTGTGGTCTATCTAAAACAGAGCATAATAATACTGAAGAATTGATCACTAAAATGAAATTCTAAGGGAACAATGTGTTTAGAGTTCCCTTTGGGGATGACTGGAACCTCCAAACCTCCTTTTCTTGCAAGGAAAGTAAGGGTCTCCTTGCTAAATGCAGATCCAGGAATGGAACCTGTAATATGACTTTTGGGGAGGAGAGTCTCTGTATTGAAGATCAAGACTGAGGGAGTGAATATGCTTGTCTAGACTGGGAGTAAATGTTGGGGAGAATGAAAGCCAGAGAAAGGGCTTCAGGTAGCTGAGGGGAAATAAGGCTTGGGGAGAATTCTGAAGAACAGGGACAGTTTCCCACCACCTCCTTCCAGGATGTCCTCTCCTGTCTGTCTTTCTTTTCATCCCCTTTGGAAGATTTTATAAGGAAGGACAAAAGGAAATACACAGAATGATCTGTGCAATAAAAAGAAAGGAAAAAGAGAAGGAAATATCAGTAAGAACTCTGACAGAAGAGATGCAATCTTCTATTTGGAGATTCACAAAAACAACAAAACACAAAACTATCTGCCATTGAGATGATTCCAATTCTTGGAAAACCCATGTGTTTCAAAGTAGAACTGTGCTCCCAGGGTTTTCAATGGTTGAGAACTTTCAGAAGGAGATCAGCAGGCCTGGCTGGTTAATAACCAAGTGCTCATAATTGGCCACACCACTCAGGTTGTTGCTGTTGTTAGATGTCTTCGAGTTGACTGTGACTCATTGTGACCCTATGGAACACTGCCTGGTCCTGTGCCATCCTCACAGTTGTTATATTTGAGCCCATTGTTGCTATCACTGTGTCAATCCATCTTGTTTGGGGCTCTTACTCTTTTTCTCTGACCCTTGACTTTGTTGTTGATGTCGTTACTGCTGTTGTTAGGTGTTGCTGAGTTGGTACTGACTCGTAATGATCTTATACAAAACAGAATGAAACACTGCCTGGTCCTGTGCCCATCTCAAAATCATTACTACACTTGAGCCCATTGCTGCTGCCACTGTGCCAATCCAGCTCATTGGGGGTTTTCCTCTTCTTTGCTGAACCTCCACTTTACTAAGTACGATGTCCTTCTCTAGGGGCTGACCCGTTCTGACACGTCCAAACTACCAATGTCAGATGTGCATCCAAAGTGATAGCCTTGTCTATGTGGTTTGTGGCTAGGTCCAGAATAAAGAGTAAATAATGGCTACTAACCCCAAAGTGGAAAAACAATTAGCAAATAAAATTCATTAGCATCTTTATGAATGCTTCCATTGTTAAAGCTAGTTTTATCAAAGACATGAGGATCCAGAATAAATATATTTACTGTGGTCACATTTTTTAGAAATTCACACATTGCAAATTCCACTGGAAAAATTCAGGTTCACAGCTATTGGCTTCTCTCCATCCAGAAGAAAGAAAAGTGAAGCAAATCCAAGACTCATGGAAACAATTAGTCTAATAGATTATGAGTCATGGGAACATCAGCCTTCACCACCCTGAGACCAGAACAAGATGGTGTCTGGCTAGTCCTACCAGCTGCTCCGACATGGATCACATTAGAAGGTCCTGGACAGACTGGGAGAAGACTGTGGAACAAAACACAATATCATAAAAAAGACCAGGTTTGCTGATCAAATAGAGACTGGCGGAACCCCCGAGGGTATGGTCCTTTATCACCTTCAGGTCTAGAACTGAATTCACCCCCATCGCTCAATTTTCAGCCAAGCAGTAGGCAGTTCTATAAGAGGAACATTAACAATAAGGAGGTGCCACACTTAAAAAAATCAACCACCTGAGATCATAAGGGCAACAACTGCCAAAGAAAAACATTCATAAGGGTTAGGAGAAATGGAGGAATGGAAACAGGAAACACAGGAGGAAGTGAGACAAGTGGTGTTACATTAAGAAGATTGGAATCAATGACATGAAACAATATGTGTATGAACTACTGAATGGAAAACTGTAAACATTCACTCAATTAACAATAAAAAGTATTTCCAAAAAATCCAGATTCGATCACCAATTTCATCCACAGTAGCCTACTTCAACCAGTTGTATTTCCTCCAGAGTTAAATTCAGAACTAATTCACTTATCAGACCATTTTTACTAGTTCACTGATCTGTTTACTTTCTTTTTACCTATTAAAACTAACATAAACACAACCAAGAAGATTTATACCTTTTTCCAATGTTAAATTATTAAGTCCATCACTTTTGTGAACAAACAAATTGACACACATTGAAATTCAAATATAAACAAGAATATTAATTACTTTAAACAATGTCTGGGATCTAACCTCTTCCCACAAATAATTTGAATAATGAATTTAACCTCACATTCTTTAAATACGGCACAACTAGAAATTTCTTTTATGTGAGTGAGTTTTTTGTAAAGGAACCTATTTGGTTCTGCTGGACATAAACATGGTGTGTGAGAAAATGGCGAGAGTTAAGGAGAGATTCCTGGGATGTGGGCAACAAATGCGAAAAATGCCTTTTTCTGATAGTTGCGTCTTTACAAGCAGAGCACACCCAATGGAAACAGGAGTTAATGTGGGATCAGACCAGGAAGTGTGGTAGTCTAGGCTGCCAAACTGAGTCCCAGTCTGGGTCTAACTACAATTTTCCCTCTGTCTCACTGGGACATTTGGCTTTGTTTTTACTCTGTTTCATCATCCACAAAATAAGAACATGTCCTAAAGAAAATTCCACTAGGGCTTTAGAAGCTTAGGCGAGCTGTGCTGGACTGAACAGCTATTTCGTAAGACTTGTTTCCAATCAGCTGCAAGCTTTGGCTGCTTTCAAATTTCAGCCCAAATTAGGATGGAGGTGTTTTCTTACATGTGACCTCAAGTCTAGCATTGCATCCACACTTCTTCCTTGAAAGACTAAGGGCCAGCCAAGGTGATCCAGACTATTTCCAACCCTAGGATCCCTAAGAAAGTTAGGACAATTTTTGTAAAGATGTAGATAATAATGCTCAGTATAAACTCTCTTCCACTCTGACAGGGAAAATTCCTATGGATCACAACTAGAGAACACGTAGCTAGAGAACGGGGCAATACGAACATGCTGAGATCTATTACTGTATATATTAGGACACCTACTCAGTCTTTCCACTTCTGCTACTGATCCAAATAAAGGGTCATCTTTGCTGTAAAATGTATAGTGTCCCATTTATATAAACTAGGAGTCACTTGTGAAATAGATACTCAGGACAACACATGCCACATAGCTTCTGAAACCCTGATGGAATTTTCAAGGATTCTTTAAGAAATACTCCTTAGTTTATATAAAAGTATATATATATATATATATATATATTTGTGTGTGTGTATGTACATTTCCCATTTAAGGAGCTCTGGTAGCGTAGTGATTACGGGTCAGGCTGCTAACCTCAAGATCAGCAGTTCGAAGCTACCATCAATTTCATGGGAGAAAGATGAGTCTTTCTGCTCCGGTAAAGATTTACAGCCTTGGAAACCCTATGCAGGGTCACTATGAGTCGGAACCGACTCCACGGCATACCACCTCATTTCCCATTTAAGTAAATTAGGACTCTCCAGGTGGTGTTGTGGGTTAGGCATTGGGCTGCTAACTCAAGTTGAGAGGTTCAAACCTGCCAGATGTTTCACAGGAGAAGGAAGCAGCTGTCTACTCTGTAAAATTTTACGGTCTCAGAAACCCTGTATAGGGTCACTATTAGTTGGAATCAACTGAGTGGCAGTGGGTTTGGTTTTGGGGTTTTAGATGGTGCAAACACTTAACATGTTTGGCTGCGACCCAAAAGGTTGGAAGTTCGAATTCACCCAGAGGCACAGTAGGAGAAAGACCTGGAGCTCTACTTTGGAAAAATCAGTCATTGAGAATCCTGTTGATCACATTTTTACTCTTACACACGTAGGAGGAGTCCTTGAGTGGCATGAATAACTAAGCAATCTGCTATTAACCAGAAGGTTGGTGTTTCCAATCTACCCAGACATACTGCAGAAGAAAGGAATACTCTCAATGACAACTGGGTTTTTAACACAAGCTGGAAAACTCATTAGAATGGTGCCCAAATCCCAAAGACACACCATTTGTTGTTGTTAAGTGCCATCGAGTCAATTCCAATCCAGAGCGACCTTGTATAGGGTTTCCAAGGAGCAGCTGGTGAGCTCGAACCACTGACCTTGCAGCTCAAACGACTTTGCAGTCTGACGCGTTAGCCCACAGTGCCACAAAGACACACCGTAAGAAACACAAAATTGGCACTGTTATTTCTTTGAGCCTTCAAAATAGCATTTACATTACCTCTGTATTAACAACTTCCATTGGTCTTTTCTTGGTTTCTCCTATGTCCAAGTAACTAAGGAGAGAAAAAAATAACAATAAGGGTTGTTTGTATAGCTTTTGAGTTGGATATTTAAATTTCTCTTTTTGAAATAATTAAAAAGTAAAGCACAAACTAAGAAATACTTAAACCTAGGGCAAAATTCTATAGCTATAAATTAAAAGCAATTCTGGTAGCGTAGTGGTTATGAATCGGGCTGCGAACCTTAAGGTCAGCGGTTCAAAACTACCAGCGGCTCCGTGGGAGAAAGATGAGGCTTTCTACTCCCGTAAAAATTTACACCCTCAGAAACCCTGTACAGGGTTGTTATGGGTCGGAACTGACTCGACGGCACTTAACAACAACAACAACATAGTAATAAGAACTGCTTTCAGCATCACTAACCAATGCACCAAGTGCATTGAAGTCTTAGAAATGCACTTAGAAATGCACTACTAGGGGTCACCCCTCCCCCATAATAGTTAGCTATGCACTATACATACTGTTCTTCTGATTCTTACATGAATTTAATACCGAGAGTTCGTTTGCCTGTCAAGCTGCTTATCAGCTCCATGAATCACAGACTTAAGGACAAATAAAATGAAGAAAGTGCTTTAGAGTAACAACTGGAAAAGGCTGGTAAATCTTTGTCCCTATGAGATCACTTTAATGATGCAGAAATGCTCAGTCATGTGGCATGGTTTAGGTATTGGTTCAGCTAAGAAACAGATGGGTGGACTAGTTAACCTCTGGAGACCCCTACTTTCCATTACTGTTTGTTACAGATATTAACTAGCGGTCATTCTTTAGCTGTGACATACGCATGACCTGAAAACTTTACACCTTATGTTTCTGTCCACTTTAAGCTCTAAGTTCATCATTGTGAACTTGTTCCAGTTTGATATGTTCCCTTGCATCGTGCATCGTACATAAATGGTGCAAAATAAACATTTTAATATCATAAATAAATATAAATCTAGCAATTAATTTTGATATATATAAAGAGTACATATATGTATCATTTACCTCAACTACTGTAACTGCTGAGTTGCCTAAAAAATGTTTATATTAGAAGTAAATTTTGCTTTTGAGTTTGAAATGTGGGTTTGTTGCTATTGTTTGCTTTTTTTGGATAGAGTGCTTTAGCCAAATCAATACCTTTGGAAAGAATTCATTTCCCCCACAGAAACACTATTTACAGGAGACAGTGCAAATACTCCTTCTGTCTTAGCCATAAAATGACTCTTTTGTGAATCTGCAGGACTGATTTCTGACTTCATACCAAAGCATTCTAACTGCCATGTGCAGGAAAGCGACCTTAAGATTAATGTAGTAAACTCCACTTCCAAAACGCACTGGGAAACTTGGTGGGGGGTGGGGATAACAATCTGTACAATTGTATGTGGTAAAATACAGCTGCTTGAAGCTTATTTATAGCTTTAAAAATATTAGGAAAATCTGCGCAAAAAAAAAAAGCAAGAAGGTTGGTCCATTTTCAACTGCAAAATATTTTTTCTTTATTATTATCTTCCCCAGTATCATTTAGGGTCTAAATGGAACCACAAGAATTGCCCTTAATATCTCCTTGGCTTTCTTTTTTTCCTACCAGTTGCTTCATATGTTATATAATCTTTCAAAGAAGCTAAGCTTAAAATATATTCAGCCTTTAAATCTCCTTGTTTTCTATCATTACAACCATAGTTACTACCAGTTTAACTCAAATACAATAAACTACTCATCTGTTGGCATAGAAAGCTAACAACCACAGACATTACCATAACAAACTCAGTTTCATTATGAATTAAAAGCAAAAGTAACCATGCAAATCTCTTATAAAGAGTGAGTTCTCTTATACACTAGATTGAAATGCCCTTTCTGTTTGGTTTGGAACTGTATCTGTCTTAATCTTTTGAGTTGGTAATGCAGCTAAACAAAGGAGAATATAAATTACTAAAGTGCTTCTACAATTTTCAGCTGTCAGTAGATTCTGAACCAGATTGCCAAGCCATTAAAATGGTTTTATGTGGAAACTATTCAATAAAAAAGCAAACAAAATGTATGATGAAAGAAATTGGATGTTAAGACACTTTACATACAGATATGACTGTTTGTGGAAACCTACTCACATCCACAGCATTTACAAGCTTGTTATGTAGGAATGAGGTAGGAATGATTGTTTCTTTTCTGTATTAGGAAGCCGGTTAGCTGAGTCAAGTGACTTACCCAAGGTTACAGAGCTAATAAACAGCTCAGTATCCAATCTTCTGACTTTAAGTTGTAAATTTCTTTAAAGCACAGAAGTTTCATTTCATTGGCTTCAGGGAAGGGAAAAATAAACCCAAATATATCCCTCTCCTCCCATAAAAAGAATATCTGATATAACAAAAGGGAGAACATTTAGACACAATTAAATCAATGTAGGAAAGGATGATTTGAGAAAACTTAAATGGTGTTTAGAAAAATAATTCTAGATGGTTAAAAATAGAATGCATAAGCATATAGTTTGATATTTTGCGATCCTTATACCCAAACTAAATATAATATTATCTTATATTTAAAACTATATAATATTGAGTCTCTTGTGTCCCAATAGTTCCACTCCAAGAGAAATGAAAACGTTAAGTCCATCCAAAAACTTGCACAAAAATATTCATAGCAGCAATAATTACTCATAATAGCCAAAAAGTGAAACAACATATATATCCATCAAATGATGAATGAATAAACAGAATGTGCTGTATCCATACCATGAAACATTATTTAGCAATAAAAAAGAATGGAGTACTGATAAATATTTCAACATGAATGAGCTGTGCTAATTGAAAAAAAGACATTATATGATCTGATTCCATTTATGTGAAATGTTCAGAACAGGCCAATAAAGGGAGACAGATACAGATCCATGATTGTCCAGAGGTGAGGACAGAAGGAAATAGAATTATAACTGCAAATAGGTACAGGATTCTTTGGGGGATGCTGATAGTGTTTAAATATTAGATTGGGGTGATAAATGTATGATTCCATGAATATACTAAAATGGGTGAATTTTATGGTATGTGAAATATATCTCAATGAAGCCATGAAAAACTATGGAATATAAAATTCTACCTGTCCTTTCATCCCCATTGCCATCAGAAACAATCTCTCTCAACTCCCACATATCTTTAATTACTTTTCCAATTCCATGTACCCCTTTCTATTTGATATTAAAACGATTAATGTTTGTGTATTCTTCCTTCTGTCAGATGGTAAGCTCCTCAGGACAAAGATTCATGTTTTGTTCACCTCACAAACCCAAGTGCAGTTTGCTAATTCACTGAGCACCTACTATGAGTAAAAGGACTGGGGGATAAGCCACCTCTGTCCTTGATGGTCTAACAGGCATCTGGAGACAGACATTAGACAAATACTGTTAGCACAATCAACTTTTAAAAGAGCCATATGCGTTGCATAAACCTGCAGGCCTGCAGAAGGTACAGGAAAGTGGGGTGTGGTCAGTACTGCTTGGAATGAAAGGTGAAAGAATTTAAACAGTGGAGGAAAAAAACGTTGAGAAATTTTCTACTCTCGCGATAATATTTTATCCAGTACACTTAGCCAAAGTGATTTTTAAGAAATCTTTGCTTTAACTAAAAATATAGTTTCAAGGAAAAGGGTGGAAATCAGAACAAAATACAAAATGATCCAGTATCACATGATCTTTTAAAGTATCTCTTGCAAAAATACTCATTTTAAAGATTCCTGTTGTACACAAATTTTAAGTCTGTTTTATTACTAACCAAGTGAAATTCTTCTCCATTCATCTTTCGATTTCTACCCTGCAACTGCAGCTGAGGATTTGAGAGGCATCAAACCTGACATGCAACGGCTCAAAACGCACTGAGCAGGTGTGTGTTTGGGGTGGGGGTGTCATGCATTTCCTCTCATCATCAAACACCGTAATGCACCCTGAAGTGGAGGGCGGTGGGTGCAGAGGGACTCACTTGAGTTTCTTGAAGGCTTCCTGGCCCCCAGCCACGTAGTTGCCCCCGCTCTGAATCTGGTCTAGCTTCCGGATGCGGTGGCCCGACCGAGGGGTGTAGATGTTCCTGACGGCCCCAAACGGTGCTTGAACGCCTCCCGTCACCTCCTTCAGGAAGACGTCAAAGCTGGACACCTTCTTCTCATGGATGACAACGCGGCGCCCCGCAAAGAAAGGGTCCCCGTTGCGGTACACCAGCACGCTCTTCACTACCGGCTGAGACAGGTGGTTGGACCTGGCGCTGGTGCCACTCATCTTTCCCGCGGGACGCTGCCTGCGGCGGCTTTCTTTTCCAAGGGAGGCACCTCTGTTGTCCCAACTGCCTCACTGCGCACACAGCGCAGGATAGATCTCCGAAACTAATAACAGGCAAAAGACAAACCCAAAGGTGAGAGAGAAGCGACTGTCGTGCCACCTGGTGTCCAGACCGCTGAAACCCTGTGGACCTGAGGGCCCACGGTAGACGTTCAAGTGTTTTACCTTAGTCCGCACAACCAATCAGCGCTCACTATGCGCCTACGACACATGCTAAGAGCAGAATCAAGGTGTCCCACCGCAGGATGAGAGCCACGTGAGGGGCTTTAAATGAGCAGGTCGAGTTAGAGCGGAAGGGACACAGGGAGGTACGGATTATAAATATGATGAAACCCAATTTCTAAAGTCTTACTTCTGTTACTCTTTTTTCTTTTCTCTCTACTTTTCTTTTCTCTCCAACTTAGGACAATTAGTGTCCTGGTTGGAAATGCTCAACTTTTTCTTTGCTACATACAAAAATAAATGCCTAAAGTGCATTGAGAGAAAAGAAACACAAACACAACGTTCAGGACCCCTCGCCGTCGCCCCTGATGACAGTCGCCGCAGCGTGGCGTAGCTCCAGAGGGCATCGTTTGACTATCGCGTGCAACTGGGACCGAGGGGAGGAGAAAGAGGGTGGCTAGGCGTTCGGAGTGGCCTCTGGAGTCTCCGGAGTGGACACTGGGATCTTCGGGAGCCGAGCTGGTACTTACCGACACTCGAAGGTTGATGCGAAGAGGGGCGGCTCAGGCGCTTGCCAGACTGTGCAGGGGGCGCCACGTGAGGGCGCGGGACTGGGGCGCCGCGCTGTGGCTCCTCTGGCACCACGGTGAACTCAGCGGCGGCTGCCGTTACCTCTGCAGGCCTCTTCACCCCTGGGGGGAACGTAGTTGTTAGTTCCCGTGGTTTCCATAGCAACTGCAGCCGCGCGCGCCGGGAGCAGAGTCCGTGAACTAAACCTGGAGCGCGCCTGGGTCCCTTGAGCTTTGCTGGCTGCTCCCAGGCTGACAAGCAAAAGTTAGAGTTTGAGAATGTGTGTCATTATCACGTTCTCGTTCAACTAACAGCTGCCTACTGTGTGTTACATGTAGTCTTGATGTGGCACTGTGGGATAAATCCCTGGACCCCAAGGTCAGTTTGAACCTCAAGGTCTGAGGTTCCAACTCACCAGTTGCTCCTAGGGGGACCCAACTCTTATGGCACTTGACAACTGTATGTCAGGCTTTGTTCTAGGGTTTGAGAATACAGTTATGAAGAGCAGACCTTCAATGTTTAAAGTGCCTACTATAGGAGCTCTGGTAGCGTAGTGGTTACGAATCGGGCTGCGAACCTTAAGGTCAGCGGTTCGAAACTACCAGCCGCTCCGCGGGAGAAAGATGAGGCTTTCTACTCCCGTAAAGATTTACACCCTCGGAAACCCTGTACTGGGTCGCTATGGGTCGGAACCGACTCGATGGCACTTAACAACAACAACATAGGAGCTCTGGTAGCGTAGTGGTTACGAATCGGGCTGTGAACCTTAAGGTCAGCGGTTCGAAACTACCAGCTGCTCCGCGGGAGAAAGATGAGGCTTTCTACTCCCGTAAAGATTTACACCCTCGGAAACCCTGTACTGGGTCGCTATGGGTCGGAACCGACTCGATGGCACTTAACAACAACAACAAACCTCAGGGTCAGCAGTTTGAAACTACCAGCTGTTCCGCGGGAGAAAGATGAGGCTTTCTGCTCCCAGTGAAGATTTACAGCCTCGTCGGAACCAACTCCACAGCACATTAACAGCAACAACAAATGTACCTAGCTCTGCTGGGAAAAGGGTTTGCCACTGCCTTCAAGAAGTTAATGGAATCGAACCTACCAAGGGTCATAAAGATGGTGCAACACTGGGCAATGTTTCCTTCTGCTCTAAGAGTCAATTGTCACTCACAGTGACCCTATAAGACAGAATAGAACTGTTCCACAGGGTTTCCAAGGCTACAATTTTTACAAAAGTAGATTGCTAGATCTTTCTCCCACTGAGGCAAGCTGGGCAGAGCAGCCACTGGTGCATTACAACCACTGACCTTTCAGTTAGCAGCCTAGCGCTAAACCACTGCACCACTAGGGCTTCTTTCTGAATCCTGGAGTGGCTTTGAAGGATAAGCACTGGACTGCAAACACAAGATTGGCAATTCAAACCCACTAGCATCCCCTGGGAGCCCTATACTAACCAATTCAATTCAAATACAAAACATTTCTGCACAGGAGAAATCTGCTCCTGTATAGACCATTGTTACTGATTAGTGTCCTCCAGTGGATTCTGACTCATAGCGACTCTTTATAGGGTTTTTGAGGGTTGGCTGGTGAGTTTGAACTGCCGGCCTTGCAGTTTAAACCAACTTTGTGGTCCAGTGCGTATCCTACAATGCCACTTCAAGACTCTGGTGTAAAAATTATAGCCTAGAAAATGCTGTGTGGCAGTTGTACTCTGTCACATGGTGTTGCTATGAGTCTAAAACCAACATGAGAGCGCACACAACAATATTGTCCAAAGCTATACTTCACTTAACTCCTACACACAATTTACTGTGACATCCTGTTGAGTCTTCCTGTGTTGTTGTTGTTGTTGTTGATAAGTACCACAGAGTCGGTTCTGACTCATAGTGACCCTGCACAGGATTTCTGAGGCTGTAAATCTTTACAGGAGTAGAAAGTATCCTTTTCTCCCTTTGATCAGCTGGTAGTTTCGAACTGCCAACCTTGAAGGTGTATTAAATCTTTCCCCTTCTCCCATTCTCACTTTCTCTACCTTGCTTCAGCGCTTAGAAATGATTGTTCTTTCTGTACATGAGTTCAGAATAGTGAAAAGTGATAGTTTACTTCTTTACATTTATTCCCATTTAGTGTGAAAGAGAAGTCGTGTTTTGGTGCTGTAGGAGAAACACTGGGCCAAAAGGTCAGTTTGAATTGCAAGGTCAGCAGTTCAAACTCACCAGCCACTCCTTGGAACTCTGTACAAGGTTACTATGAGTTGGAACAAATTCTACAGCACTTAACAACAACAACAACAGTGTGAGAGAAGCCTACTGATGGAGAATGGCTTTTCTTTTTAGTCTGCCACACAAGGATACCAACACACCTTCCCAATCTCCTGAAACAATAAACATTAAACCCTCTTTTTAGGATATTACTTTCTGCCACAAAGTGAACTCCAAAGTAACCCTTAATGCTTATCTTTAAATTCTGAATAAATCAAATCTCTGTCTTCCACTAAAAAACACAAACAATTTCATCTCAGTAGATTTTATATTGGCAAAAATAAAAACACTGGACTGTGAACCATAAAGTTGGTGATTTGAGTCCACCAGCCACTCTGCAGAAGAAAGGTGAGGTTTTCTGCCTCATCTTTTATAAGATGTTTAAAGTCTCAGGAACCCTATACAGGATCACTGTGAGTTGGAACAGACTCGATGGCATTTAACAACAACAACAGATAATTAAAGTGTGAGCTATAAACGCAACTTAAAATTGGAAATTTAGAAGTAGAGGTAAGAGCAGTTAAGAAAATTCACACAGAGAGAGTCTATTTTCTCTGTGCTATAGAAGGAAACATTATCTGGCTTGGATCTGGGAGCATTTAGCATCATAGTAGAGGTGAGTGTTTAATAAATCCATTTTTGTTAAATTAATTAGTCCAAGAATGAAGATTTTGTTGCTTCTAAGTGCCGTTGAGTCAGTTCTGACTCACAGAGACCCTGTATAGGGTTTCTAAGGCTGTCAATATTTGTAGAAGCAGAATGTCTCATCTTTTTCCCAAGGAGCAGCTAATGTGCTTGAACCACCAACCTTGTGGTTTGAAGTCCAGTGCTTAACCTGCAGAGCCACTGCACTCCCCAAAAGCAGGCTGATATAGACATAAAGGGAAATGAGACACGCCTTAAGAAGAACTGAAGAGTTTCAATACCTATGAGGGTCTTCTTAGCACTGTGATAGAGGTTTTTATGAAAGGTATGCACCATATATGGTTTCTGCCTTTAATGATCCTTTCAAGAGAATACTTATTGACTTCCGTTTCCAACAACATGGCAAGCTAGCTATCTGTGATGACTGTCCTCTTCAAGCAACTGAAAAATACTGGGTTGGTTTTAAAGTGCTTTTTCTTGTTTTTTGTTTTTTTTAAAAAAGTCATTGGTAATTTGACAAGAATGAAAGGAATTTAGAAAAGGCAAAAAACAAATGAAAACAGAAACACCGGGAGACAAGCAAGTTCTGCAATCAGTTTTAACCCTAAGTATTCCTGTTCATCCCCAACTCTACCCTTGAAATACCACCTCTCTTTAATCCTGCTGGAGTTCCCAGTTAGTGTGGTCAGGTGAGAAAAAGAAATAAATGGCATGAGTTGAAAAGAAACACAGTGATTCTTGTTCTTAAATCATATGACTGCATTTGTAGGAAATCCAAAAGATTGATGCTTAGAATTAATACAGAAGGTGAAGCAAGATTGCTAGACACCAATTAATAAGAGTGCAAAGATCTATTGCATTTCTACTCATTATTAGCACGACACACAAAATAAAGTCCTAAGAAGATATACTTTTTTCATCCGATTATAAGTTATGTTTTGAGAACTCTTTATTTTATTGGTTTTCTAATGTATCCATGCAATATTTCACCTAATAGCCTTTTATTGTCTTCAGTATCTGCAGAATCTGTGTGTATGTTTCATATGTCTTAATTTTCTTGCCTTAATTTCTCCTTTTCTGTTATAAGAGAGCAAAAGACTAAAAATAGACAAAATAGTCTTTAAGAAGACAAGGAAAATGTGGTAAGACATACCCCACAAGGAATCAGAACTCACAAAACCATAATACTTAAGACCCATAGTTTTGCTGCAGACCTATACAATAGTACCAATAGAACATAAGAGATAGCTCAGAAACAGACCTACAGTATATTTGGACACTGGGTACGTAACAAAGGTAGCA